GGGCTTTTCCAACTGAGCGATTCTGTGACTCAGTAATTTATTTTGGAAATCGTGTTGCGTCCATTCGGTATCAGGAACCCAGTGCTACTTTACCAAAATAACTTGTGTGTTATCTTTAATTTGCTTTTAAGATGTACAATTTCACCAGCTTTGCTGTGAGTCTCAATGAACTGGAGAAGGGCATGGAAGCAATATTAGCTCCCACCGACTGTCGGCTACGTCCGGATATCAGGAATATGGAAAACGGAAACATGGGTATGTGTTTGCTGAAGGAAATGTTGTCATGTTAGGAAGTTTTGTGAGGGATGAGTAGAGGGAGGTCGGTTGATGCAGGAGCACTGCCTGCAGTTCCTCATTCCCAGAGCAGCCTTAACTCTTTCATCCTGCGTTAATGAACGTGCTTTTGAACAATGTAGGATGTTTGTTTTCTCCCAGAAAAGTCTGGAAGAGGAAATGTGTCCAAGGTGGATCCTAGGGCTGCAACCTTGTGTTATGGTGCATTTGCACCTTTGTTAACAGACATGCTCTCCTGCTCTGGAGTTTGTCGGGAAGGACACGTGGTGAGCAGACGTGCTCTGTTCCTCTGGCAGTTCTCAGAAAAACACATGGACAAAATGAAAAAAAATCACTGTGAGATGCCAAATCTTGAGTTCTTTTCTGCTGTCTTGGTGCAGTTTCTGATAGATAAACCACCAGAATGTCAGTTTTGACTGTGTTTGTAGTAGCACCTTTTCCTGAAATGAGTTTCAGGTTTGGTTTTGTTTTTGTTGTTCAGTGAGATTGTGTGCAGCAAATGCTTTCTCTTGCTTTAAATGAACTGCGTTTCATTTCTCTGCAGTCTTCTCTGTTTCTGTTTTGCTAAGTAACCGATTTCTCTCAATGCTCGTTAGATGTGGCTAGCAAAGAAAAAGAGAGACTAGAAGAGAAACAAAGAGCTGCTCGCAAGGAGCGTGCAAAAGATGAAGTGGAGTGGCACACACGGTAAGGGGGAAGGAAGTTGGGCATCTGTTTAATGCTTGGAATGGTTTTATTCAAGACAGCGTGAGTTTGATTTCCCACATGATGACACAATTTGTAGCGTCACTTAAAAAAGCATTTGCTGGGTCGACAATTAAATAACGTAGCTGGAAGCCAAAACTGCTGATAACTTTGTCCTGGATAAATGATCTAATAATAAATGCTCAAACCTGTCATAAGTAACTATTGTGGTAATGCTGGATAGTTTTGGTTTTGTTTTTTTTTAAAGCCTGCAGAGGTTCTATTTTTGTTACAATGAGTAAAATGTTACATCTCATCTCTCCTTTAATTCCTGCCCAGCTTGTGGCAGTTGAGTGAGACGTTGTGGCCCTCCAGGGCCTTTTATTTTCACACTCTTAGGACTTCTTGGCTTGGTTACTTCAGAAATTGCTTTGATGATGATGGCACATTCAGATGACTTCTCAGTCACAGAATGCACCATGCAGTGATGTGTGGTTTGGCTCCGGCTCCCCTGGCTGCTGCTCGCAGATGCCAATGCCACGCAGTCAAGAGCGTGCTCACAGCCAGGTGCTGCAGGTGCTTCCTCCATGGAAGAACCTTGGATGCTCCTAAATTTTAATGAAATCCAGAAGAGAAAGGGCTCTTTTCCCAAAGTCTGGAGGAGCAGCTACAGTCTGATTCCAGTGAATGCCTTTGAAAACAATTCAACATTCTCTGGAAGAGATTTTCAGTCCATGTGGCTAAAGAGGGAGCATCTGTTCATGTTCTGTGCAAAGTCTGGCTCCACAGAGCAAAGCTGTTTGCTCTCTGGACAGGTTTACCAAAAAGGATTGTGCAACTGATTTGGCATTCTTTTAAAGCAAAAATGAATATAGATAATCAATATATAAACTAGAGTATCAGTGTTGGTTTTGTCTGGAATAGGACAGCAGTTTAAAATCCATTTCATACTCCTTGACTTTATGTGGAAAAAATATAATAAATTAAAAGAAGGTGCTTTATGAGGTGGTGATAATTGTATGCGGTTTAATGCCTTGTTTTTCATGTTCAGTATATTTCCTGATAATATTTTTCTGGTACGAAACACCAGAATGTGTTCACAACGGTTTGTGAAAGAAGCAAGTATTTTTCCCCATATCAATAACTGTTCACTCTGTTTGCTTTTTTCCTTTCTCGTTTCTTTCCTTTTTCTTACAGATGGTTTCATCAAGGCACTAACCCTTACACTGGGACTTCAGACTGGCTGTACTCAGGTGGCTATTTTGATAGAAATTTCTCAGACTGTCCAGACATATACTGAAAATACAGAACCAATTGCTCATCTCATCTGGACATCTAGTTACTAGATTTCATTCCAAGCCAGTTACTCTGGTTTTGTTGATAGCAAAAACCAGCTTTTCTAAGTAAATTTTAACAAAAATTCTATCGGTCAACAATCAAGGATTTAATTATCACTAACGTTGGATTGCCAAATATTTAAATGCTGTCGCATTCTTTCCGTAAAGCTGCACCTGAAATCATCGTGTTCTCACTAATTTTCAAAGGGACCTTTGGTTCTTCATTTTTTCCCTTAGTTTCTTTGTCAGGAAGATACGCTGTATCCGGTAGAGCACATAACATCCTTGAAAACTACGTAACTTAATTAAAATAGAGGTAATATCCTTGTTACTTAGTACAATAGCGAAACACCTGAAGTTTTTGGAACTCGGAGCAGGGATGCAAAGCTAATATGGTACCAACAGGATCGAATCTAGTCCTGTCAATGCTCCCCGTGGAGAGATGCATGTGAACTTCCATACGGTATGTAGCACTACGTGGGGACCGGAGTTCCCGGCCCCCCTCTCTTGGTACGATTCAATAATTCAGAGACTCGGGGAAACGCAAAACCAACCTGAGCTTCTCGAGCTGTAGCTGTGTGTTACAGAGCCTTCACAACTTTTGGACACTGTGAGCGCTAAACTGTGTACCTGTGACAAAATGACGTGTTAGGAGAAGGGAAGGGCGCATGACAAGTGTGCTTTTTCTGGAGTCAAATGCCATTCTTCAAATACGAGAAGCTTCAGAAGCAATTGCAGGAATGTAGAGGTGGTTATGATGTAAAATATATTGCTTGCTACCACTTGGAGGCTTAAATCTTCTGCACTACCTTTGGCAGCTTTGGCACTGTGTATGCTTCTAGACTAAACTTCATTTGGAAGCACTTTGGTATGTATATCCACAGAGGTTCAGATTTGGGGGCAGGTTTTGTTTGCATGTTTTTCATTATTAGGTCATGTCTGTTCTGTACGTTGTGAAAAAGCAGAATCAATTTAAAGCTTTGGCAGAGTTATACCTATTACAAGTTTTCTGTGAGCACGTGATGTCAAAAAGTGGGATTTATTTTTTTTTGTTGTTCCATATCGGACCATTGAAGCCATATAATACTGGAAATACTCAGTTACTGAATTGATGCATTCGTTTTCTTTCAAGTAGTACACTTCAGGGAGTAGGGGGAGAGAGGATCGGAAAACTAGGTCCAGTAATTACAATTGAATTTTAATATTGGTGCTTGTTTTATGGAAGTTTTTAATTGAGTGACCAGGCAAAAACGGAGAGCGGCTACACTGCTATGAACTTTTAGAGTAATTCAGAAATTACTTGAGGAATTCCCAGAACTGGTTTAATTGAGGTCCAAACACAGTTGTGGTTTCATCCAGAGAGCACATTTTTGAAGTGCTTCTCTCCCAACCACAGGATTAAAAAGCAAAAGAAAATAACCCTACTCGTGGAGAAACATTTTTGTATGAATCGTACATCTAATGATTGGATTAACTTGAAATTTTTGGGAGATTTAGTTGTTGTCTTCATTGGAAAAATAAGAGAAGCTGTAAAACTTGAAGGCAATGAGTCAGGGCCTGACCTGGAACGTGGCAACTCTGCTCTGTTGCCAGAAATGGTGTTTGTGCTGATGGGAAGTCTTCAGGACGCACGGGCGAGGTTTGGAAGCAGACAACAGGGCTGTGGTTGTTCCTAATCAGTGCGTAGACACTTGACTTTTAAAAAGACATTGCTGATCCATATGGGACAGCATAAAAATACTTTTTTATAAAAAAAAGATCTTTAATGACGGTGCCAGGCGCTGTGACCCCCCTTCCAAACTCGCTGCAAGCAGCGTAGGGACCCTTTGTTAGGTGAGGAGTGAAAGGATTCGCACATTAAGCCAGTTTAACAGCTCATGGGAGTTTCAAACTTGAGTAAACCGAAGAGTACATTTAATGCTGGAGTAGTGTTTTTAAAACAATGCACATCAATAGCCTGAAGGGAAAAACTGTAGAGTAACTGCTCAAGAAATCTTCTGTTTGTAAGAAGTGTACAGGTTAGCATCGCTCTCATCTAAACGATGATTTCAATTCAAAGACCTAAGTCTGCCCTTTTCATTATGCGAAAGCATGGAAAAATTGGAACAAATTGTATAATCCAAACTTGAGCGTTCTTAAAAGAATCTGGGAAGACTCAAGAAGTAAGAACACTTCAGTGGTTATGTCTTTACTCCCCTCTTGCCTTCCTTTAGTGTGAATTTTCATATTAGTTCAAAATCGGTATTTTTAATTTATTGTTCTCTGCTGACCACACTCACAAGATACTTTCCCCTCACTGCCGACACCTCTGCTTGGCTCAACATGGGACTCCTCATGCCCTGAAAGTGAGCAAGTTTTCTTTTCCATGCAGATCTCGCCTCAGTAGTTTACGTGTCGAAACATTAATAACTTTGCACCTTTTGAAAGAATGTCACTTTTATAACTTGATTAAACACTGTATATAAGATAACTGTGTTAGTATATGTTAATACAGCTATGTAGAGGAACCATCTAGAAAGAAATGATAATAAATACTTAATAGCCTTTGGGCCTCTAGATGGTGACAAGAGATTTTTTTTAAAGTGAGACTTTAGGGCAGCTGTCTGGTAGGGCAGGAGGGCTGGAGGTGGCTTGGGGCCATGCTTTTGATTGTCCCTGTGATGCTCATTAGACAAAGATGATTTAAAATAGAGCTGTGAACACCCCCATCGAGGCTTTTTCTGTTCCTTCGCAGTTGGTGGGGCCTGAGAAGCGTGGGGTGTGCGGTGTGGGGCCTTGGAAACCTCCATGGGGACGTGAGGGGACAGTGCAGCAGCCGAGGGTTTGCTGGAGCTGAGGGCTGAGGGGACTCTTACTAAAATATAGTGGAAGTGAAAATGTAACTTGGGTTGCTGCATAGGGTCAGTGTCTTTGTGGCAATGTCATATTGTGAATTGGGAGCAGCATTTCCAAACGTCAGGCTTTTGTGTAATTATTGGTACACAGATTAACGAGGACAGGAAACGCGTATCTGAAATTACCCAGAAAAACCAGAACTAATTAGCAGTATTCCTGTTTAATAATTAAGAGATGATTTCTTTGTAAACTTTTTGCTGAAAAATGTTTTAAAAAAACAAAATCAAGGCTCTTTCCCCCAGCCTCTTCAGCAGCTCTGTGCCCTCCCTGTGGGAATAAATCTGCGACCCGCTGGTCCCTGGCTCCTCGGAAACACCCGGGATTTGGGTCCTCCGCACCACAAAGCCCGCACCCGCGCTGTGACTGCAGGGAAATGGGTTTATTTTTGTAATATTTAATAA